ACTACTACTATTACTACTACTACAACTGCTACTACTATACTACGATGACTATTTACTTTATACTCAAACTGGCAAGAAGAATAATCTACCTCTGTAACACCCAACATGAAGGCCCAAAACGGATCCAGTAGAGACGGTGCCCAAGAAAAGTGTAGGCCAGCTTTGGTGTCAACATGTTTCCGTTTCTTTTACACGGGGCTTCCTACTTGGTTTTGGGCGTTGACGAACACACCAAAGGGCTTGGACTTCTTTAACAGTTGCTTCTTCTTTTGGACACAGGCATTCGCTTGTAGTACCATCTAATGAGATATCGTCTTTCTTCGGATTAAGAAAGCATTGGGAACTCGTCTAGAAGCCAGATCCTGAAAGCTGATGCTGCTGCTGCTGCTACTGCTGCTGCTGTTGCTGCTGGCGCTCGTGCTGCTACTGTACTGCTACTTTACTGCCTCTACCCCTTGTGGAATAATGAAAAACCTACCGCAACTCTTGGATGGCTAAGGATGACTTTGTTACTCAAACTGGTGATTGCTCGCGGGGGCAGCTACTTTGTAGAGCAACCTTCTTCGAGTATGCTGGGCTGGTATCCGCGCTTCAAGAATCTGGAGCTGGACGCATATGCCGCTGGTTTTCCTAGGATTTGGCAGGTAGGACTTTTGATTATGAAAGCAAGTTCATGTTGGGGGGTTGACGAGCAGAATTTGGGCTATATATATAGTCGAGGGCGAGTGAGTAAGCGGGCAGCACAATCTCAGAGAGCGGTCCATATCACCAGGAGGATTCTTCATTTCGGCTCACTTTCCCCACTAGTTAGAATTCACTGGGCCTAAGCATTGAAGAAAGGGTAAAGCTTCTCGTGTAGGGATCTTTCCAGGGCTATCATAGGGTTGCTTTGGCTTCTGCAGGGTCTATACTTGCAGGGTCATGGGGACTTAGTAAGGATACTATAATTAGGATAAACTAGGGTTACTATATATATAATATTAACCTTCTTACTAAGTCCCCCTGTCCCCCCAAGTAGGTTTTGGAGTTCGGGCTTGAGGATTGCTGCCAGGGTGTGCCACCAAGCATATATACATTCATGAGCAAAGGTGCCACTTGTAGGATTGTGTCATATCCCCCTAAAGGTTGCATTTCTGTGTTCACTGAAGTAGAACCGCCCTCTGAAAACAACGCCCAAGAACATTCTCTGGCAGAAGACTACTGTTCTAGTCTAAGCGTGCATACTTTTGTGAGCTAAGTGAGGGATTTACATTGCGCGCTGTCTCCACTCTGCAACCGCTGGATGCACATTTATAATGTGGTATATACATATATATGTGTATATACCCCTCAATATGGCTCATAATATAAGATATTGCGGAGTGGAGGCAGTGCCCAAGGTTTCCATGTAGAGCCCCATAAACAGCTCGAGGATCATTCTTCAAGCATTTGATGCCAGCTTCCTGAGCCAGCGTGGCTTTCTGTGCCAGAAAGCGGATAAGCCCTTTCCAGTATACATCTGGGCACCCCATTTCCCCTTTATTGCATAATGGGCCCCTTATCCCCCTTCTACTACATATCTGGTCCCCGTATCATCCTCCACTACATACCTGGCCCCGATAACCGTGGTACTTGCAGCGCCCCAAAACCGAAAGGCTCTTATAGAAGACCAGATCCAAGAAATGATTTCCCAAGTGACCGGAGTCCGCTCTCATCCGAGATTGTGCGCCTGCCCAGGTGCACAAAGTGGGGTGGTGGATGATGGCGTATGGATCCGCTACTCCGAAAAGGAGCAAGGGATGGGCCAATCATGCTGCTCTGCTACTTCTTGACAAAGGTAAACTTCCAAAATCTGTGATGCAAGCTAGCACAACCAGATTGGCGAAAACCTCTGTCAATGCTGCTGGCAAAAAACAGTGGACTGGAGTGCGGAAAGCTCTCAAGGACAGCCAGCGCAAACCTCAGACGTCGGCAAATGTCGAGATTTCATGCTAGGCTCCCGCGTATGCTGATCAGTGACCGAGGAAATATCCTGTGGAGTTTGGGAATGCCATACGGGATCTCATGCCTGCGGTACTGAAGGACTCTTCTCGTAAACCGGGACCTGTGCCTCAAGATTTTACCACCCTGGCCTTTCTGCAGTCTGCCGATGCTGGCAGCGATGATTGGCCTGAGGCTGATCTCTGCAGTGTGGTTCTCTACTTGCGCGGCAGCCGCCGTCTCATGTTACCAGCTAGCTTGAAGGAAGTGTTTCCAAAGCATCTGTAGGTAGGCTTGTACGGTAGCCAAGATACAAGCGTTGGGGCCCAGGATTTATCCATAACATTAGTGGTGCTCTAGACGTGCGTTTGCGATGATAATGGCATGGGGAGGCTAGGGATTTGGATTACAAATATTGTCCTGCCTTCGATGCAATTGGAAACAAGCAAGGCTTCCTCTCTTGGAGACTAGTTAGCTGCAGCTTCGTTTTCAGTGCAAATTCATATTCAGACTTGCTGGCAAGCGACTGGAGCATGAAGCTGAAATTTCAGGAGTGGGTCGGGGCTGCTTTGGAAGTGTTTAGAATGGTTTTCCTAGAGTTTCACATAGATTTTCATAGTTTTCATGGCTTTTCATGCAAAAGTACATAGGGGGCCCCTTTGGATCCGTTCAAAACCCGTTCTGGGCCCGTTCGGGGTGACTTTTAGCTGCTATTCAGCCGCCTTTTAGGTGATTCTGGCCCAACCCGTTCAAAACCCGTTCCAGACCCGTAAAGCGTTCGGACCCGTTCTCGAAACCATTCAAACCAGTTCTCGAACCGTTCAAAACCGTTCGCCTGATCGTCTTTTAGGTGTCTTTTAGTCATCTAAAAGTCGTCTTCTCTCATGCCCCCAAGTACCCCTATCCTCACCCAAAAACCAGATTTTAAGCTGCAGCTTCAAGTTTCAGCTCCGTCGCAGGGTCGCTTGTGCCAGTGCACATGCAGATGAAATCCACACTTCCGCGGATTTCCAAAATGTCCTCGGCCGGCAGCATCCAACATGATCATTTTGGCCATCCGATCATGCGTTTAGCACCAGCTGCAGTTCATGCTGCCACTGCAAAGATTCTTCAAGGGGCGATGTCTAGCCTAGACCAACCTCGGACCCTACTTAGCCGGGCTTGGAGCGGCAATTCTCTTGCTGCGGGCGTAGAGCACTGCTTAACACGGGCCGGGATTGCTAGGGCATCCACTGCATCCACGGGTTCTGAGATGGCCGAGACACCCAGGGTTTCCAAGACTGCTTTGCTGAAGCAATTAAAGGACTGCATCAACCTGCCCCGATTGTTTTCGTGTAGTGCATCGATCATATTATTAGTGAATGTAGCCTCGGTATGCGTCAGTATACCATGACCAGGAAGCTCAGCAGAGACTGCTTGACTACGAGAAGAAGACTTCAGAAGCTAAGCAAGAGGCTCTCCTGGAGAGTGTGAAGCCCGAGGAGATCCCGTTTATTCTTGCATGTGATCAGAAATTAGGGTCTTCAACTGCGAGATCCCTGGGAATTTCCAAGCAGGCTGTGTTAACCAGACCCATAGAATAGTGTGTCAACACAAAGTCTTCTATTGACATTTCTTTTACGGGGGAGAATGTATCAACAGCAAGTCTTCTGTTGACATATTATTAGGATTTCATTGCAGGCCCAGGTTAGCTATACAGATAGAATCCCCTAGCGCCTCCCAAACTCTTCTTCTCACACTATGCCTGAAAGAACTTGTAAAGACAAGCTATGGATGACCTGTCTCTAGGACTCGTTGGGCCTTTGGGTGTTCTATAATTCAGGACGACACAATTCCTCTAGGGCAGATGACACCGGTGCCTTTGCATACCAAAGCCTTTGTTGCATGCAAGGCATCTCTTATAACTTTTCAGCCAACCACGAGAAAGGAAACCTTGTCTGCATCCCAGGCATCTTCCATTGCCGCAAGTTTGCGAAATGCTGCTCTTGCAGCCTCGGCTGAGACTCAGAATGATGAGGCCAGTGAGGAGAGCGAGTCTGCTATGACCACCCCTGCTGCCGACCCCTACTACTTCTCGGCCATCCCTGGTGCTCAGCAAGCTGTTACGAAAGCGGAGATGGTAGATGATAGCTCTGCCACCGCAACTTGTTTCGTAATGTCTGGCATGTTCGCTTGCCACCCCAGACATGCTAGTCTTCATCTTGCAACATGTCCTTTGTAAGGAGCCTGAGAGTTGTGAAGATGATCCTGGTACCCTGCGGAAGAAGCTCTCCAGCTACTTTGAGGCCGAGTCTGACACTAGGTGTGAAAAGCATCAGCTTCTGGTGACACCTGGACGCCAAATGTTAGCAACACCGCCTGCCCGTGGCGCTTCCACGGCGAGCCTTCCCACGCCTGAGGATGCTAAGTTACCAGCCCCCAACCGACGGCAGCGTAGAGCGGCCCCCGTCCCGCCTGCTCCTGCTGAACCCTCCCAGCACCCAGAAGACCCTTTGGAGATACAATTGCAGGCCTGGAAAGCAAAAGTGGCCGCGCAGATGGATGCAATCCAAACCTTCCGCTCTGCACCCCAGACCCCTGATCCGCGGGAAGAAGAAATCAAAAGGCTGCAGGCGCAAGCTGCGCAGCAGGCGGCTCTCATTCAATCGCTCAGATCAGGAAGGATTGATGCCCCCTCGCCCGCTAAAGTCTACAAGCCGACCGAAGAACCAGCAAGCAACCCCTCGCCTGGCAAATCAAGCAAGCCTTCCCCTGCTCCAGCAAGCAACCCTTCGCCGGACAAATCAAGCAAGCCTGTCCCTGCTCCAGCTCCCGCTAGCAAGCCATCCGAAAGTGCCAAGGCTTCTTCCCCGGGGCCTAGCAACGCAGTTACTCAGGACGACCTTGCAGATGTGATTATTACTCCAGATGGGGCCACAGCTGCATGGCTTTATCCAAATGCCCAAAACAATCCCGCAAACCCTATATGAATATAAACTATATAAACCGATCTGTTATAGAACCCTAAGAATCCAGTTTGAGTGTGTGCATCTAAGGTGAACATCTCTCGTGATGCTTTGCGTATGAGGCTGAAGCGGATATGTGAAAAAAAGAAAACCGGCCGCATGTGGGTCAGTTTGGACATCCACGAAGATTACACGGCAGGAGGGGAGAAGCGGGAGCAGCTCGAACTCGCTCTGCTTGAAACTTTGAAGGGGCTGGGAGATGGCGTTCACCGTCCAGACAAGATCAGGGCGGGGTGTGCAAGCGTTTGGAAATGCATGCCAGTATGCACATGTCTATAACCCTTCACATACTCATTTCCGCAGGCGGCATTCGCTACGCGAGTTGAACATGTTCGTGAGCGAATGCTGGCAAGGGAGCAGGAAGTCACTGGTGAGTGGCTCACAGAAGAACGCATGAAAAACAAGCATGGCTGGGGAAAGCGCCTGGACTGTATATAACCATGCGCATGTGATCCTCGGAAATCTGCCCGAACAATTACAACTCATAAGCCACATCGCCCTGCCTAGGGACCTGATACGTCAGATCGTGAGCTACTGCTTGAAGTTTCCGACTAGCCTCACAAGGCTGGGGGTTCAGGGTCTTTTAGGAAACATGTGTTCTAGATATCTCCAGTGTGCCCAAGCGACTTTGCAGCATGCATCAGCGGAGCAGCAAACAGCCAGATATCCTTGGTTGCTGTTTCTTGTGTATGGGTTTACTGCTTGGGCTTGTTGTCTTCGAGAAAAGTCGGTTTACCCTGAGATGCGTTTTCATGTGCTAGCCGTGCGGGATGCTCCTATACCCCACAGTGCCCAACATTGACCCTGCCCTGCTGTATAAGTAACCAACTTATTTCCCTGTGTGACCCTGCACCCTTTGCGCTCACATCTCTAATTCTGGGAGGCCATGGAAGTACAACAATTCGGTCACTGAATATTTCGTGGAGACCGAGGAGACAAGCAAGATCAAGCGATCGGACATCCAGCGGCAGATTGATGCTACGCAGCAGGCTTTTCGGGAAATGACGGCCAGGGCCTACAAGGGCTGTAGAGGGTGACACTATATAGACATCATCATTAAGGTCATTCTGAGGAAGAAGTGGCATATGTCACCAAGAAACTTTAATTCACTCAAATTGGGGGGGGATTAAGATCGTACGCAGAGTGTCTAACGATTTCCATGTGTTCTATTCCCAGCGATGCTGATGATGCTGTTCTTGCTTCTGCTGCCACTTCTGCTGCTGCTGCTTTTCTACTGCTGCTCCTCCGCCTCCCCTCCTCCTGCTTCTGCTCATCCCCTCCCTCCTACTCCTTCTCCTGCTTCTCTACGCCGCTCATGCGTTAATATGCTTTCTGTGGCAGCGGTGTAGCTCTCTCGCTCAGGTCGAATTACCGCAGCGTAAGGTCATGGATCATTCTTGCAATTCTACATGGGTCCACCTGTGCACGGAATCAAAAAAAACAATTATTACCCTCAGCATCTGTACACATTTCGATCCTTTAGAGACACGTACTGCCATGTGGCTCATGATGGCGTGCAAAATGATGATGGACACTTTGCAGCAGGAGCAGCAGCAGCAGCAGCGGCGGCGGCGGCGGCGGCGGCACGAGCAGCAGCAGCAGCAGCAGCAGCACCAGCAGCAGCACCAGCAGCGAACTCAGAATGTAGGGGTGAGAGAATGGTT